AGTTTGGACAGGCATGGGATGGGAAGAGGGAAGGCAAGCGTGGTTCCAGAGTCAGACAGGGAAACTAGCAGGCAGCTAGGCAAACTGGACTGAGGTACTGTGTCTGGCTCGGCTAGTCCTCCCTGACCAGCCACATTCTAAAGGCACCATGATAGATGGTCTTCAGGGCCTCCCAAGGTTCAGAACTGGACTCCTCCATGGAAGGAGAATCTAATAACTGGAGGAAGGCTGGTATTAGAAGCTCCCACCCCATTGGATTCCTGCTTCTCCATCTCTCCACTGGATGTTCTGCCTAACCTCTGGCAAGGGAGAGAGTGATGAGAGATGCTGTGTCACAGTCCAAGGTATCCCAGGCAGCCCCCCACTGGGGGCAAGGGCACCAGGACCCAATCCACCACACAGAGTATCCAGTCCAAAGGCACTCACTGCACAGTTGGTCGTGCCCAAGCAGAGGCGAGAGCGCAAGGCTGAGAACACGGAGCCAGAACAAGGTGCCGAGAAGCCAGTAGGAACTAGAACAGGGGCCAAGGCAGGAACGGGAACACTGGAGGCAAGTCCCAGAGATGTTGGGGGCAAGAAGAGGCAAGAGCAGGGACCAAGGCAGGAATAGGAACTGATCCAGGGATACTGGAATGCAGGACGTCTGGCACTCAGGAGCAGACAGCACTGGCAAAGACCTTTGTTGCTGGGGCCAGTCCTGGGAGGGAGAACCCCTCCTTAAATAGGCCTTCTCTTGAGGTGAGCCTCAAGAGTGGCCCAGCAGCTGCTACACAGGGCAGGGCCTGAGCCTGCAAACACCATCCCATCCCTGGGTCAAGCTGACCCCGATCCTGCAGCTACCAGGACAATGTTGGTCAGATCCTGACATGCTGCCAGAGGAGGCACCTGGGGCCAGTCCTGGGAGGGAGAACCCCTCCTTAAATAGGCCTTCTCTTGAGGTGAGCCTCAAGAGTGGCCCAGCAGCTGCTACACAGGGCAGGGCCTGAGCCTGCAAACACCATCCCATCCCTGGGTCAAGCTGACCCCGATCCTGCAGCTACCAGGACAATGTTGGTCAGATCCTGACATGCTGCCAGAGGAGGCACCACTTAATTTTGGCCCTGTGTATCCTGCCCTTGCTGCTGGAGCGTTGCAACTTTTCCGCCGACCTGCTCTGGATGGTGGGGACGATTTTACCCCTTCTTAGGTAAAAGCCCACAAAGAAGAGGTGGGATCATAGACTCCGGTGACCTTTGGACCATAAAACCCATCCATCTTCATGGCGTCAGAAAGTAAGACCTGTATTTCTCCCTCTCCTACATGAATCAATGACTTTATCCTCATCCACAACAAGGGTCATTGTCAGATTCTACTTAGAAGGTCATGTCAGTTCCTCGGGTAACCTGTTGTGCTCAGTCCCAGCACTTCTGTGGTCCATAGTTCATCTCTGCTGGTTCATCTCCACAAAATGTTGGTGTACAGCTTGCATTCCTTTAAGGATATTCAATTAGAAGGACTTAGTTTTTCAGTGATAAAACTGTTGAAAGCCTGTGCAATTACTTCCTCTTGATTTCTCCACACTGCCTTTTGTGGTGTCCTTTTGTGGTGTCCTCTGAGGAAAAAGTACTTTCAGTAACGGTGTGGTTTCATGATTAAACTGTAATTTGGTGGCTGCTGGAGGTTCCTTTCCAAATTCAAGAGTGAAGAAACAGTTGTTACAGTTATTTCTGGCTACACATTGTCCCCATTTGTTTACGGATTGTCATAGAATGATAGAACAATGAAGCTGGAAGGGGCCTATGAGACCGTCCAATCCAACCCCCTGCTCAATACAGGAATCCAAATCAAAGCAAAGATATTACCAAATGGTGGTCTGATTCTCTATTGAATGCCCCCGGTGCTGGAATGCCTACCAGGTCCCCTTAAGGTCATTGGTTCCATTTTTGTACTACTCTAACAGT